ACGCAGGCCTTGTGAACAGTGTGGAGGGGGCCCTGTGGAGGAAAGCCTTCCCTGTTCTCTTACAAAGAGCTGCTTGATGCTTGGCCCTGCCTGTTTTGGGAAGGGGAGGTGGTTTCTGGCAGGAAGTTTTGGGGAGGGGAACGGCTGAGATTCCTCAGAGCTCTAGCAATGTTGTGGCAGGCACCACTGACCCTTGTAAAGACACTTTCCAGGGCCTCAGCAGCGTTTGTAGCAGGCCTGCGGAGAGAATGTTTCGTTAAAGCCTTGTTTACTTTATATTCCTCATGTTTTTCTTCAGATACAGCACGTGGGAGCCAGAGGATCATATCTTGGACCCTCGCCTGGTAGTGGCTTATGAAGAAAAGTAAGGGGGCATGTTCTCTCTCTCCTGGACACAGGCAAAGGAAATACTATCTTTATTCTATAGTGTGCATAAAGCGCCCCTGTTGTCCCTACTCCCATCAAGGATGGGATGTATAGGAATGAGCCCAGCTTGATCTCTATACCTGGCTCTTGGCTGAGGCAAACAAGACAGAATTAAAGCAGCCCTGATTGGCGCTGCTCAGGAAGTGAGGCCAAGCACAAGCAGCATTTAGCCAAAGAGCAATTGGTCACAGGTTTTAATCGGGGCCAGGGCTGGACTGGATTGATGTAGAGGTGATAGTTTCTCTAACCCATCCTTGATCAACTGAGTCGGAGAAATTCCCTTATTGCAAGGCTTTCACTCCCACGAGAAGCAGTTCTGGGATGTTTTCCAAGCCTACGCTGTTCATTATTGGGTTTTAATGGAGGAAATGAGGGAGTTGTGCTGCAGAAGGTAGAAGTCCTAACTAGGCTTTGTGCTGTGGTATTTAGTACTTGGTTTGATTTCTGTTCCTTCTTCACAGAGAAGAGAGAGACCGAGCTTCAGGGTACAGGAAAAGAGGTCCCAAACCGAAGCGCCTCCTACTGCAGGTAGCCTCTTGCTCTGCTCCTGTATATTTTTAACTTGTTACCTGCTGTGCTGCTGCTCTGCCTACAGGGACGTAGGAACTGCCCATTTGCTGTTGCATGAATAAACTTGGTGACAAGCTAACATAACAACATAAGTCAGTGGGTAGGCAGGGTGGTTTTAACCTGTTAGCTGAACAGCCAGCTAACCTATGTTTAAAAGGAGAGGAAAAAAAAAAGGGGGGGCAAAAAAAGCACTCTTGTTCTGGGGACTAGGATCTCACAAACTTCGGGCTTGAGTGGTTGCAGGTTACCTGGGTTGCATGCTCTTTAAAATTGAAATGAGCTTGGACTGTTCAGTATGTTAAAGGTAGTAGCTGGATGGAAGTGACGTTCCAGCGTGCTTTGACTGCAACATGCAGTCATGCAGCTGCTGACATGCAAAGCAGCTGATCCTGGGAAGCACGTGTTAGGAAGAGCTTAGATTGCAATTGAAGAGGTGAGAGGAGCAGTGTTGTAGAAGCAGCACAACTTATCCTAGGTCACCTAGATGCTCAGGGACTAAACTAAGAATAGAGGCTGTTTCCTGGCTCCCAGATGGGAGCCCTGACTGTATTATCAGACTCCTGTTTTGACTCTTGCTGCGTTCGTGTCTTGGCAGCGGCTGTACGGCATGGACTTGAGGAGCGCACACAAGGGAAAAGAGAAGCTCTGTTTCTCTCTTGCACGGAGGTTTGGAGGAGGAGACAGTAGTGTGCCGGGGGCCAAGCCAGGGCAGGCAGAGTTCTCAGAGAAGACTGGGGGAGCGGTCCTGCCATTCTCTCTCAGAAAGCAACGCAAAAACCAGAAGTACCTACGACTGTCAAGGAAGAAGTTCCCACGCATGACGAGCCTGGAGAGCCGAAACTGCAGACATGAGTTCTTCCTGAATGATGCAGTGGGCCTGGAAGCCAGACAAGGCCCTGAGGACTGGGAGGCCATGCAGCACACCAGCAAAGAAGGTAAGGCTGAACACTCCTCGATTGTGGAGTGCTGGGGCACGAGAAGGATGCTCTGTGTACTTCCTCCTTGCTTGCTGCATCCTGGGGTTGTGGTTTAGGTCAGGTCTTCAGGGCAGCTCTAGTTGGCTCACATTGTGGCTGTCCTGTGTCTGCAAGTCCTTTTTTTTTGTCTGGGTGTATAACACAACTTAATTTTGTCCTGGTGCTGTTGCCTCTCTGTAGTCTTGTATCGGTGACACGCCTCACATGTTAGAAAACATGCAGAAGTTGCTGGAAATTACTCCCCTCTTCCAAGTTGCCTACCAGCAGAGGTGACGTGCAGGTGTGACAGTGAAGAACTCAATCTCTGTCCATATCAGCACACGTTCTGCCTCCTACTCTTCAAAAAGGAGCTTGATGGTGGATAAACTCAGGCACTA